TGCTTTCCTTAAGTCTGAATTTGACTTCAACCCTTGGTGTTTCAGCTGACTCTTGCATTTTCATCATCATTTTGCATTGTGATTGTGATGGTAAACCCCCCCTCACTCCTGCATCCAGTAAACATTATTCACCCCCAAATCATTTGAAGATGCGTCACCCTTAGGTACATCATTTGCCTTCAGTAAGTAAGAAAGTACAAATCCTGTACTCCCACCCACCAACATTCTATCATCTGTAACTACTGGGCTTTCATTAACCCCTTGAGAACCTCATGTGAACTCATATAGGTCATGTCAGTGTGCCCCAGGGTAACGATCAGTTACCAAATCAATTCACATATATCTCCACAAAGCTAAGTCACTAGGTGCCACTGTCCCCGTCTATATCCAGGGCCTAACAACTTTATAATCTTGGTCACCAGCTTAGATTTTTGAACTCTAGACCTGCCTATGTGGCTATCCAGTAAATCCACGCCTACTTACCCAGAACTTCCTGAGACAGACACTAGTTGGCATTCTACCTAGGCACTGGATGTTCCTATTTCCATGAGTTTCTCATACACGCAGCTGCCAGTATCTGTCCATACTTAACAAGGACTCTCTCCATCTGACAGAAAATCAGTACCCCTCACCTACCTTCTTCATCTCTTCATTGAGTGCCCAAGAGTTCGCCCGTGGGTTTAAGCTCCAGTCTCCCAAGGTGGAAAATTATACTCTGTCTTGCACTGACATCTCAGTTTGCCTTCTGCACTACTCTGTAGTATGAGGGCTGGCTTGTTGGGGTTTCTGTCCCTCCCAGTACCCCAACAGCCGGCAAGCAACAAAGAAAATCACACACAAGACTCCATAAGGTTATAAACTGATTGGCCCATTAGGTCAGGCTTCTTGTTAACTCTTATAACATATATTACCCCATTATCCTTATCTATGTTAGCCACATGGGCTCAGTACCTTTCTCAGTGTGACAGCTTACATGTTGCCTCTTCGGTGGTCTGCACAGGAGTGGCTGAGAGAGAGCTTCTGCTTCCAGAATACTCCCAGTCTCTTTGCTCCACCCCTACTTCCTGTCTGGCTTTCCTGCCTATACTGCCTGCCTGGCCAATCAGCGTTTTATTAAAATATGATTGACAGAATACAGATAATTCTCCCGCACCACTACTCTGCCAGTGTTCTGTTCAACTCCAAATCAACATTTTAACCTTCCAGTTCTTGTCTCAGGACTGCAATTCATTAATCATCTCTAGTCCCAGATCTGTTTCCCAGGGACCTCTATCTTACTGAGTACACCGTACCCACCCTGACACACGGATCAACCATTTCACTTTCTCCCCTCCCCCAGCCATTAGTTGCTTCTATATCCTGAGAAATACTTGGTTCCAGTTCCTACTGTTCATTGGTGCCTACACGACCTTGACTTGATCCCCCAATATCGCAAATATAGACAGTCTCACTTTGTCTCTCAGCTCTCAATCTCTCCAACCCTGTCCATCATCCATTAATATGAAACAACAAACATGTCAGTCCTCGATCTACACTTTCCTTTATCACTTCATGGCTTAGCATCCTTTAATGGTTTCCAATTATTATAATGCAAAACTCCATTATAGGACAAACCAGGGACCTCGAGCGACACCTAGCTTTCTTTTTCCTTCTTCTCTGCCATTCTACAAAGCCATCATTCCAGAATCATGAAATATTTACAGGGTCTGGAACCCGCTTATATATTCAGGCATTGATACCCACTGCTCCCTCCATTTATAATACCTTCCTCTTATTTCAGAGAACTCTGCTTCTTTTCCCAGCATTCTGTAGCTGTTATCATGTGAGTTCTCCACTTCTTCTACTCTCCACTCTTCCTGGTAGATGTTCACTTATCCTGCTTCATTGCTCATTGTATATCTTGTTCTATCATGGTGTGTTAAACTTTACTCATTAGTTTGCAAAGAAGGGTCAGCAACCATTTCTTAACTATCTCCCTAACTGACATTTTTTAACTCAGTGGCTGGGTAATGAGTATGTACAGATGTTTAAATGAATATTGACTTATATTCATTATTTACCTTTTAGTTATATGTCTATATAATTAATTAATACTATATTTATATATTTTATATTTATCATTTAGACTCACCAAATATTAAAATTACAGATCTCAAAAACCACCCTTGGCCCACCCTGGAAGATCATTGCTACTAGTAGTTTCCACTGGTTTGCATGCCCTTTCTTCCCTCCAGTTTATCAGTACTCCTCCCATATTATTGCCCAGTTTCTTTCCCAAAGCACCCTCTAACCTCCAAAGCAGACCAGCCCTTCTTTTTTTTTTCCTCTTCAAGGGGAAATGTAAAAAGATGTCACTGTACATTTCTTTGGGAATGGGAGTCATGATACCTGTTTATTACACATTGGTCTGAATCAATATAATCATTCTTGAAAGTATATATACCTCAAAGGGCTGCTATATGAATCACAACTGCCAGCGAAGATCAAACATTAACCCGGCATTGTGATGAAGCCAACAAAAGAAACAGCTAGTAATTGCCTTACAGGATATATATCAAGTCTCTACCTTATATACACATTCCCCCACATCACACACAAAACGTTTATGGGTCTTTCATCCATGAACTTTCTCAATTATAATTGCCCAGCTGTGTCTTTAGCTGTATTCAAGCCAGGTGCTGGCAACTGAAACTTCACGTATCTGATCCAAGAACTCTGAACAGAGGAAGTCGCCAGCTTTCTGAAATGACTGAAGACACGTCCGTAGGTAAATATTCCCACAGGTACGGTGTTTCCTAGGCTAGTTTGAACTCCCAAATCCTGTCTGACCAAAGCTATGTATGTGCTGCTGATAGTCATTACTATCAACTCTCAACTTTTGATTATATTTCTTTCTGTTCCTGTGTCAACTGACTTCTAATTAAATAAACTCTTTTCAAAAATGAGCAATATAGGATGAAGTATGGGTACTAGCAGGGCGACTTCTACTAGTGCTGCAGTGTTAGTGGAGGTACAGCATTTTGGGGGTACCTACAGAAATAGTCTAAAGATTTAAATCAGTACAAAATGATACTTTATTTGCAGAAACTGAATACATGTCATTCAACTTTACACAAAGGCAATTGTAGTGTAACTTTTTAATATCTTTTTATGGAGAAAGTCCACAAAGTGCCCACAGAGGTTCTAAATTGACCCTGGATGCCACCACATTGTGTTCTCATCATATCATTGTTAGAAGGAAGCCTTTCACATACAAGTGCAGATTCCCATACTAGTTATGAGCAGGAGGGTAAAGTGGAAGCTCTCTAGGTAGGTATTTTGTATTCTTGTGGTCATCCCAGATTCTAGTAGAGAAATGCTAGGATTCCTACACACAGTGTTGAGACTTGAAGGGCTGTAAGATTCATACTGTTTTTTGATCTGGCTAAAGTAATTCCTGCTCTATCGCTCTCTCTCAAACATCATAATCTTGTTTTGATTAATAGGGAGACAAAATCCTCTACGCCTTTGAGGATTCATTAAACCAATGCAGTTGCCCCCTTTGCCTTCTTAAACATTTTTAAAGGATTTAGACTTCAATAAATTTTGATGATCAGTAATATTATTGATTCATACTTTTTTATTTATGGGTCACCAACCACGCATTCATCATGTCTGTACTCTAGCTTTTACATTGCCCAGTATCTGGCAAACACTAGGTCCAGAATTCATGTTAGATTAACATGTGACTCACATCTTAGTTGGAAATGATATTCTGTTGCTGGACTGATTTTGTCTTTGCTAACGTCCTGCCTTGAGAACACCATCTCTGACCTAGACCTAGACCTAGCTGGCTGTTCCTTCCTCATGACCGCCCGTTTCCACCACCCAAACACTTTTCCTCTTTGGCTCTGCTCTTGTCTCCTTTTCATCCTAAGGTCTAGAATGGTCCCCAGCTCTCCTGGAAGCAGCAGGGTCCCCGCTCCTCTGAGCCTTCCCAACACTCCCCCACGCCGCCCCGCCCCCGGGGGGGCCCCCCCCCCCCCCCCCCCCCCCCCCCCCCCGCGCACACACACACACACACACACACACACACACACACACACACACACACATATCTCGCCTCCAGCTCCCCAGCCTTCTGTCACCCCGCACCGCCCACAACCACGCCCTCCCCGTGGGCGAGATCACCTGTCCCTCCTCTGCCGCCGCCTCCTTGGGTACCCTTTCGCCCCCCTTCTGCTCCCCTTCCTCCGCCACCTCCCCCAAGCCCTCCCCTTCCCCGCCTCCTCCCACCCCTTGGTGTATATAGTAAAGGCCAGGCGCTGCACGCAGACACCCACTCGTCCGGACACAGACACACACGCACACGCACAACCGGCAGAGGCAGAAGCGGCAGCAGCGACAGCGGCTTGGTGACAGCGGCGGCGGAGGCTCCCACCGCTGTGCACCCCCTTCAGGCGACCGGCGGCGAGGCCAGACCAAGAGAGTTCCCTCACCAGCGACCACCCCGTGGCTTCCTGGAGGCGGCGGCCCCGATCGCGAGGTAGCAGCCGCTGCGTTCTGGTGCCGGCCGGGGTCACCCCCGCCCTCCCTAGGCGGACCTGCCACCGGG